ATAAGTAATTAAAAAAAGGCTTAAAATACATTTTTAAGGTTTTAAAATATGGAAAGTACAATACAAGGTACAACATAGGAGACAATAAGAACCAAAAGTCTATAGCCAAATGTTTAAAGCCAATAAAACATTTGACCCAAGTACTAGATCTCTTCTGTTTTATTAGTGATGGTAGCTGGTAAATATAGTTTGTTATTGATCTGGTTCCCACCCTGAGCAAACTCTTTCTGTATTATATCACTGCAGAGGTTTTCCGGGTAGTTCTCTCACTCACTCACACCCTGGACTTGATTGAAAAGGTGTGAAAAGTGTGAGGACAAGTACATTATTATCCCATTATTTGTCTCGGAGATAATTGTTTTTACAATGTCATTGTCAGACATTATCTCAAGTTTAAAAAGAAATGTATATAAAAGTGCATTTTCAGTAAATTGGACAAAGTTGGCATGTGATCAAAAAGGCAAATGGAAATTTCCCTCCGACTTAGTTCCTTACAGATTTGTGATAGTATGAAACAATCACTGATTTATTTTGGTATAAACATATTTTTTTTACAATGTCAGTAATCTATTCTTGTTGATTAATATGCTCTCTCCCTTATGCAATAAATTAAAATTCAAAAAAGCAAACTACCAATAACTACACAATAAATACAATTCATTATGAAAACTTTCCCTTCCTTCAGATGTTTAAATGACATACTGGTTTTGTCATGTCTAAATAAATCTAAAATGGAAGTTCACTGAAGTCTACTCCCTTAGTTTTGCTCATCAATGCATTTAAATTGTTGTTGGTTTTAAACACTAAATGGTTGATTAGGTAAAGTGAAGATAGGATAAAAAGTTTCCCCCCAGGTCAATATTTCCTAAGCTGTTGTTAAAACAGACATTATACTTTTACCGAATTTTTATCCCAAGTAAAAACAGCTTAAAAACTCATGTGATACAAATATAATGTTTTAAAGTTAATCTCTGGCATGCATAGATTAAGTAAACTTTTTAGTAGATGTATTCCCACATCAAAATACATGACAAAAATTGAGTTCTGGCCATTTCAACCCTTCACATTTTCATTTTTTACGCTGTCAGGAGTTTCGTCCTCATCTTCTTCAGGCCTGAAACTCCCAGCCACAACAAAATGTTTCCACACTAACTACGAATTAATTCAAATCTTCCAGGGAAAGTATTGCAGGAGTTTCTACAGCTAAAGATTAAGAGTATTTTTACTATGTTCTACTCATCGTCCTCTGTAAGGACATGTTGTTACCTGAGCCCAATAAATAACATTAAACAGCAAGAGATCACTGAGAAGTTACAACACATCAGAGTCTAAAATCTGTCACATCAGAACCAAAATAAAGAGAAAAACCTTGGGATCCAATCTTTTTAATTCAATTTTTTGAGTATTTTACAACCCCTTAACTCCACCATTTATGAAAATACTTGACGACACCAAAATTAATGTCATGTAGCAGATGGACTAAGGAAATTGGTACAAAACGAAACATGTATAAAATATCTGTTGATGTATTTTGGTCCCAAACTGAAAGCTCGGGTCACATTCTTCTCTCACCTATACAATATTATGTGTTTTGTCAGTTTTTATTTGGTCCCCCGTGTGTTTTTTCACCCTCTTGTTCCCTTTTAGAAGTACATCAGTAAGCATAATTTTCAGAATCTTTATATATTTACTCTTTCTTCCATCTGAATTTATGTTTCACCTCTTTCACTATTTACAGATCAGTCTTTGTGACTATAGATTCTCATTGGTAACAAGGAGAAAATATTCTTGGACCTAAAAAATAACACTTTTTCTTTGAGTGTAAATTTAATCTCTGCATTCCTTACACTCTGATAATATACACTGTGAACATTTATTTGTGTATGATAAGTAATAAATAATCTTTTCTACTTCATTCTTCCATTCTGGGTCCCTTATTAGTATGCATGTGTGTACATCTATACATGTGGAAGTTTTTTTTTTATATACCCCTGCTGCTCCTGGCACCTAGACTTGTTTGCGACCATGTAGTTATATATTCTGTTACACATTCACTCTTGAGGGGATTATGCTCATTTTCTCACTCTCAATTTCAGCTGCAACTTGGGGGCAGATAGGTCCAATCCCATTTACATGCAAATGTTGAGGTTCTTTGCTTGCTGGATGTTTCTAAAGGGGGATCCTTCCTATAGAACAGTGTTTCCCAAACCTGGTCCTCAAGGCACACTGACCTGCATGTTTAAGATGTTCCCCTGCTTCAACACACCTCATTCAGCTGATTCCAGTTCAGCAAACACCTCCTAATTGAAATCACCTGTGCTGAAGCAAGGAGACACCTAAAACATGCGGGGCAGTGTGCCTTGAGGACCAGGGTTGGGAAACACTGCTATAGAATTTGACTAGAATGTCTCCAGAAACTTCCACTTTGATTTTAACATCCACTTTGATAACAGGTAACAGCTCAAGATTTCAGAGTTGTCACCAGGACCGTGTACCAATGGGTCCAGCTGATAGGAGCCCCCTTAGATAACATAAAAAAGAATGGATGGATGAAAAGCTACAAGATGCAAGATGAAAGATTTGGGGGGGTTTGCGATGCTGCACCATCACGGACATTTTGACAATTGAGTTCTGGCCATTTCAACCCTTCACACTTTCATCCTTTTCAAAGTATTGCAGTAGTTTCTACAACTAAAGATTAAAAGTAATTGTCTATGTTCTAGTCATAGTTCTCTGTAAGGACGTGTTGCTGAATGAGCCCAATAAATAACACTGAACAGCAAAAGTCCACTGTGGAGTTACAGAGCTTTCATCACAGTCTATAATCTATCATATCCGTCAGCTGGTCCAAACAAGGATCAGAAACAAAGGGAAAAAGTGTGGGATCCAAACTTTTTAACTCAATTGTTTGAGTATTTTACAACCATTTCACTCCACCATTTATGAAAATACTTGACTACACCAAAATTAATGCCATATAGCAGATGGACTAAGGAAATGGGTACAAAACGAAAGAAGGATGGGATGAAATGGTTTCATTAGTACAAATTGTAACCCAAGATAGGGTTACAGTTTGGAAAAGAGGCCAACTGACACAGCCAAACCTAAAAAAAAAAAAATCAACGGAGCGTAGAGAGCAACATTCCTGCATATCTGTACGTACGAGTCAGTAAATAGAGAGGAACCTCAACTTGTATTTTGGCCTTTGAGGGACTTCGTAGATAAAAAGAAACACATTATTTGTAATGTTCTGTAACCTCTGTGTGCCACTGCCCGTCTTGGCCAGGATTCTCTTGCAAAAGAGATTTTTATCTAGGTGGGATTGAAATTAAATTTAAAAACTGTTATTGTGTAAACAGGTTGAGATCACAGCAGCCAGTATTTGTATCTTCATCCTTGTAGTTTATGTTTTTGCAATCTGTGCAGGGACAATTTCTACTAACTCGGATATTATTTCACAGTTGTTCTTAGATACTGACAGCTGGTCTTGGTTTGAAACCTTTAAGTTGAATTTGTGTAAAAATTATAACCAAAGCAGGTAGATAATAAAATAGATTTTAAAATATTGAAACAAAGCTTTACCATATGATGCAAACATTTTCTTTTTCTCAAAAATATAGATTTTATTTATTGACTTTTACAATTGTTTTCTGTTTTTTTAATTTCAATACAGAAACAAGAGGGAAGTTTTCATGACTTTTATTGAAATAACATTTTACTCAACATATTACAGTTATTTAATTCAGCGTCTGCTCCATAAATAGGTTATTGAACATAATGATCTCAGTCAGTGTAATAAATTATATCAATAGCAACAAAAAGAAAGGAGCTGTGACAAGGTGAAGATGGTCTTTGACTGACGTCTGAAGAGGTTTTGGTAAAGTCATCCACGCCTCTCTTTGCTTTTTAGAAAATCATTGCTAAAATGTCACAACAGGAAGTCTCGCTCTCTCTCTAAGCTGTGTCATTATTGACTGTAATAATGTTTAACAATGACTATTATTCAACACTATTAAAGCTATAACTTAATTATGGAGACTCAAAGGGACTTTTGTCACACATGTGCTAAAGTAAGTCATGAAATTATGAATGTACTGAGATTCCTAAACCTGGCAGTCGGCCATTAACTCCCAGTTATGCCAGTTTATCAGCAGCTTCTTCTCTTATGACGAACTGGTTCCTGGTAAAGCGTTGGGTTAATTTTAGTTGGTTGAACAGTTAGTTTCAAGGAGGGTTTATAAAGTTTAACTAAAGGCAACCTTTAAAAAACTCCTCATAAATTTATGAATTATAAACCAAAGCACATTTTGCCACCATTGAAGAATGTAAGACTCAAATTACTGAATGTCCACAACTTCTCTAAACCTGTTTTCATTCCTAATTTTAGCTTTCAATCACTACCATTTCTCACAACTATAACTTCTTCTTATGAATGCAAAGGATGAAAGCAAGGCTCACCAAAAGCAAAACACAAACACAACCTCACTGATGGCATTTAAGTCTTACTGTACTGTTAAACTCCAGATGTTTCTTTGTTTAACCAGGAACTGATTTTGCTTTTCTCTAGTGGTTATTTAGATAAGATTTTTTAATGCAACATTGTTTAATGTCTTATCCCTGCTCATATACATATAGATAACTATCTGGAGGCCCTACTTCTTCACTCTACTTCATAAGCTAAAATCTTCAGCATTGCAATGACGAGACATTACTTTATTCAGAGAATACCAAAGAACTAAAATAGGAAACACTCAGTTAAAATGGTCTTATTTGAATTAGCTCTACAAGCTATGAATGCATGTAGAGTTAATTTTTTTTAAAAATGTTTCCAAGTTTTGGCTTTGTTCTTAATTTTTAAATAAATACATTATAATGAATTAGGTTTCTGCTCAGGAGGCGGCAGAATGTACCTTCTACCCGTATATTTAGTCTTTGCCAGAAGCAATTTAAGTTAAACCTTTTATGTAAACATTTAAAGTTCATAGCAGGTGAATCAACATTTTACTGTGACTGTAAACTGACTTCAGCAGCCACTTCTGTCAGTGATCGCAATCTAGTTTAGTGTTGTCTCAACTCTCAGAAAAATAGTGAAGGGTGGAGTTTTTATTCTTAAAAAGATTCAGTGATTCTTAAAATGACTTGTGTGTTTGCCATAAACTCCATCTACAAACACAAACTTTGACATGGCTCCAATGTATAAACCAAAAAGACATAGTATGAGACAAAGGGGTTTTGAGTGAATTTCAAAAGGGGGAAAAAGTTTTTAGTAAAAACATGCATAGCCTTGCAGTTATCACACATTTTTTTAATAGTAAAAAAAAAAAGAACCAAAAGATACAGCCTTTGTCAATCCACAATCAACTGTTGATTTTTTTTTTCCAGCATTTTGATTGGTTGACACTTTTGAAGAAGTTTGTTCTTCAAGACGTTAGATCAGTTGCTTTGAGCAGTCCACCAAGAAAGAGAAAACGTGTATTTCTAAGTTTTCTTTCAAAGTAACAGCAGCTTCCCTTTGATCCGATCACACGTCAGCCTGTTTCTGCTCCTCCTGCTGAGGGTCCTCTGTCCCTGCAGCAGTTTCTGCCAGCTTGGCCTGAGCTCTACGACGCTCTGCCTCCGTTACCGTCATGGGATGGAGGGGGAAAAATCCAGACAACCCTGTGAACGCGAGAAAGAAAACACGTTTTTTAAACTTCAGAAGCAGATACAGCCCGGCTCATTCACAGTGCCTTGCAAAAATATTAATGCTACTAAAACTTTCTATGGATTTACTCATGTTCCAGGTACAAACCGCAAAGTATTTTAGGGGTGCTTCATGAATTAGACCAACCTCAAAGAAGTGAAAGTAGGGAAATTATACATAGCTTTACTTTATTTTTATTTTACAAATAAAAATGACTCAAGTATGGAGTACATTTGTATTTGGCAATAACACCAAGAAACCCTAATCCACTGGTTCATGTCTGTCAATATGAATTAACATTTAACACGTCAAAAAGTGTGTCATGAGGAGGAATAAAAAACACTTAAATTTGCATAACCAGCCAAAGTATTAAAAGTATGATTTATAGTCATGAAAATACAGCATTTAGTTTCATCCAAATCTGCGCTGATAGTTTCTTGAACTTTGTTTCTCCCTTGACCTTCAACAAATCTTTGAATCAAAGCACATTATCAAGGTGCTTCAGGTAATGTCGAATGCACATAAATATTTGAGAGGTAAATATGAAAAGAAATTAAAAAAAAAAAACTCAAAAAGAAGAAAATAAAGTAAAGAACTTCACAGCAGTTTGTAAGGTGCAGGTGCTGCTAAAAAGTTAGGTAAGGAGTTATTAAAAAATTCCTCATGAGTTAACTGAACAAAATTGTGTAATCCTGTCACAGGCTACAATTCGTGTCAAGGAAAGTGATCACACACCTAGAAGTTTGGCCACCGGTTTGGTCAGGTGCGCACCGCAGCCGATCCAGTACTTGATCCGGTCGAAGTTGAAACCAACAAGCTTCTCGTTGTAGATGTTAGGGAGCGGGTCGAAGCTGCCCAGCTGCTCGATGTATTTACCATCTCTTGACCTCTTGTTGTGAGCCGCCACGATGCGATAGAAGGGTCGGTTGGCTTGTTTGTGGCCTGCGAGGGCGAGCCGGATGACGACGTAGCCGTTGTGGTATCTCTTCAAAAGGTGGGACGCTGCATGAGGCCATCAGGACAAAAAGAACCATCAGAGGAAAACATGCTGCTGCTGCTTCTTCTGAAATAAACTCATCGCATCAGTGAGATATGGCAAACTTCCACTGATAAAAAATAACTTTCATCCAAACAAATTAGAGTTTAGATTCTATTTAAAATCATTTTTTTGTAGAAAATGTATTTGGATCAGTGTAAATTAAATAATGCACATCTTTTTTCTTTTTTTCTTTTTTGCCAACAGCTACAACTTTTGATACTAATTTCTATGCATATTTGCTGATTAACTACTTCAAAGGTAACAGATGAGAAATAAAAGGATAAAATCAACCGTTTCTCTTCAACACGTGCAACAAATGACAAATATCCTCCAACAAGATGATGAAAACAGAAAATTTGCTGCTTTTTCTGTCTTACTGAATGTTAGTTTCTTGTCTTAATTATGAATTCCCAGAGTTATTTTAGAAATTTATTTGATAAGGAGATTACCAACTGACTGATCAAAGCTGTAAGATGTTACTGATTTTATGTGAAATTATGTAAATATGACAGGTGCTTGACGAAAAACTAGCACATGTCAAAATAAAGACTTGGTTTATAGCTTTTGCACAGTACCTTCGTAACTTTCTTCTATATTCAAAAAGGAAATTAAATGTTATACTCACATAAATGCACCATGATGAAACACCCTGCAGACACGCTTAAACGGACATAAATGTTGAGATAACTATATTAGTATGTAGTTTCCTCGGCTTAAACTGAAAGAAAACTGTGCAAATGTCATTGAAAATCGCAAAACTGCGGTCCAGTTGATGCTAAGCTAGTTTGAAGTGTAAGATAAAGAAATGAGAAACTTCTCAGGACGGAGAATGACCCACAGATGATAGTCACTGTCTTTTCCTTTCGATGTTTCGCTCTACTGTTCATCGACCTGCAAATATTACCGAAATGTTTTCTGCCTAACAAGAGAGTGTGACATTTGTCAGGGCGCAGCCATGTTTAACCGGATGTTACGCAGCAGCGTCGTTGTTCCCTATTCTTGACGCCAGATGGCGCCATGGGACCGTTGACCACTGAAAGCTTCAATTTTGTAGATTGATGTAGAAATTCAAGATTTTGTAACGTCGCTACTCATTAATCGAGCTGAAAAATCCAACTTCACGTTTCTCTGTGATATTCATGAGTTTTATTTATTTATTTATTTTTTTTCAATTTTAGTTAAAGAAAAAAAAAACCTAAATAAATATATATTTAAAAGAAGGACAATGATGAATTTTGGAAGTGGAAATTCTAATAGTTGAAACAAGAATTAATAAAATAGGAAATGTTTTTTATAATAACAAAAACCTACTACAATATTATTCAAATTTTTACATTACAATATTGGCCAAACATTTGATGATTTCCCCAGGAATAGGTAAATTGAAAGTTATTTGTTGCAAACACAATCTTCTAAGCTTTGGGCTATTGTAAAAATTGGTTACATAGTTTTTGCTAATTTTGCAAAAGATTAATGCTAAATTTATATATATAGCAATTAATTTTTAGGCAATCAATAATATTGTAGACTGGTTTTCAGTTCATTTCGGATTATGTATGCACCAGTCTATAACAGAACAACTTTATGTAAAAAAAAAAAAAAAAGTTTTTCTATCCTTTGCTTGATAATCTGAATCAATCAAATTTGTCCCATTTGTATACCAAAAGATGCATTTTATAAACAAGGATGATTTCAGTTAGTAATCAAGTTAAAACTTTGCAATCAAAATTATTTCCCTTTTGTGTTGAAGTAGTTTAGTTTGTGGGATAAAAAAAAAGAATATTTACTTAATTTATCTGTGTTTTATTTGCAGTGCAGTGTCCTCAAAGTACAAAATCAAACATTACTGATGACGAACTTCTACAATCTGTAAAAACATATACTTATAGGTAGAAGACTGAATATATATATGAACTCTATAGCTTTTAGCTATATGCTATCACAAATAATGTGATATACATGTTTTATTAATGTCAAAATGATCAATAATGTTATTGTTGCTTTTCAGTTTAAGAATAATGACTGCTTAATTTAAATTGTATATATAATAACAATAGCGTCTAACGAGCATATGTATAAGATTCTAATAAAATCACATAATTTTATTGTTATATGACAGTTTGTCGTGTCTGTAATTGAGCAGTACATTGAGTTTGAAATGCCGACTCCTGGAGAGATGAGAGCAAAGTTACCTGAGTCTGCTCATTAATTCAGGAGCCTTTGTTTGTGCCTCATGTTGTCCGAGAGCACAGATTTCTTTTTTTTTTTTCTTTTTAGTCCGCTGAGAGCCCAACCACCCCGCCACCACTCCCAGTCTCGGAACATGGTGATTTCACACTCCTGTTGTGTAAAGCTTGTTTTCCAGTGTGTGTGACAAACACATGGTTTTCTGTGAGGAGAGGTCACACAAAAGAGATGGGCCCTTGTTTGTAATTCTGAAAATATCCTCATGTCCCAGAGTGACTCTTTGTGCACGAGGCCAGAAATGAGTTCTGAATCGTTTCAAGCAGACAAAAGGAACAATGCGGCTTCGTGCTTTTAATGTACTTATTTGACGAGGACAAACAAGAAGGTAAATTTAACTTTGAGCGGTAGAAATTAGGAGTGAATGAGGACGAAACTGCATGAAACGTCATTTGTTCAAAGTATTCAAGAAGGTTAGAAGATGCTGGGGAATTTATTAAATATAAGATGAAGAGGAAATGAGAACATGACTTTTTGTTTTTTTACATCCTTTTAGAACTGAACTAGAGGTCTACATCAATGTTTTCCAACCCTGGTTCTTGAGCAGGGATGGACTGGTTATATGGGACTACTGGGCATTTTCTTGGTGGGCTGATGAGTTAGTGGGTCGGTGGTTTCGCCCGTGGAAAACCTGTTGTTTTGCAGCGCCATTATTCCTCAAACTGCACCTTCACATTTGTCCTCTTCACCTCTCCTCCACTTGAGTCAGTAAGATCTCCTCAGAGCAAATTCATCTTTAACCTGTCGGCTGGCCTGCTTGGTCTTTCTGATGCTGTTTGTTCACCAATAATTTTTGGATAAATCTGGCCAGCTAGAGATTTTCTTTTGTTGTCATCTAAGCTGGAAATCGAACCTTCAAGATGAGAGTTATGTATATGTGGTACTATACAGTTTTGTCCAGTACCAGATTATGTCAAGGTGAATATTTCATTTCAAATGCAGAAATAGCTACCTACAAACATTTTGTTTGTAGGTATCTTTATCATCGCATTGATAAAGCGGGATGACATCTGTGATGACATCTGAGGACATTCTTGATCTTGATTTGGCTCAAAATGAAAAGAAGTTTAACACCAATTCACAGAACAGCCAGATTTATATTGAGATTAAATTACACAACCATATGCATGATGTAACCCACTTCTTCTTTTATGATTTTATTTGCATGTCACCATTTTTCAACAAAAGAAATCTTACAGGGCTTTCAAATTACTTCATCTAACCCAACTACTCAATTTAATGTTATCAGCGTATAAACAACTCAGTCAGATTAACAAGGTGGTACAATGGTGCTTGCAAAGAAATTGTGGTCAATCCAAGTCAGTCAGGAGATTCCACTTTTTGTTTTACTGAAATCCCAAAAGGTTGTGGAAGAACAGGGCGACTGGAGGGGAACGATTCGCGTTTAACAGGAAGAAAAATCCAGCAGAACCAAAGTCTGGATCTGCTTTGAGCAGCTGTGATCTCAAGGAACAGGAAAGAGATACAAACACTGACACACTGGCCTATGATACATTGTCTAAAGAGAACATCAATTTAATATAGCCAACATTTTTCAAAAATACAGAACGCATGGAGAGTAAAGATACCAAAGTGAAGTTATTTAGTGACTTTTTTCCTAAAGGATTGAGGTTTGTACCTGTTTTCATTTCTTGTTCCTTTGTCAGTTTCCAGTACTTAAGCTCCTGGTTTTTCATTATTCCTTTGCTGGATTGTTCCGTTCCTCCACTCTTTACTTCACAAGCATGTACAAACCAAAGGATGTACCAAATGTTTTGTACATCCTTGTTCACTGGAGAGTCTGTTGACAAGACAACCACAAATCCAGTAAACCTTTTTACAAGATTTTGTACAAACAAGGATGTACATCTTTGATTTAATCTAAGAAAAATAAATTCAAATGGAACAAAACGCAAGAATAAATTACGAAACTAAGCACAAATGCATTAAGTAATGACAGTAGTAGACACAGAGAACTGAACTTAATATGGCAAGATCTATATATTGTATCATAAATAAACAAGGAAATGATCAAAACACAAACACAAAAAAATGAACAAATAGACCCAAAACCCAAAGGATCGTGAAACACCAAAATCCAGTTCATGCCACTGCATCATCGAGACTCGACAAAGAAATCTGCACGGTTCTGAACTTCAACCAACTCTTCTCTATTATTTATTAACATAAATATGAAACCCAACGAGAAAATTGAATAAAATACACAAAAGTCGGATTTATCAAAGACGTTTCACATGTAAATTCAAAAATAGTCATTTTTGGTTTTTAGTCACTTAAAGCTCCAGAAATTCATCTGGGGCTCAAAGTAATTTTCTAAATATTTTGTAGCAAATAAATACAAATATAAATGCAAAGGTTTCTGTTATCAGCAAGAAAAATCACATTTCCCTTATGTTAGAATTGAGCAAAATAAAATAGAGTTCTGGCCTTTGGTGAAAATTGGAAAGAAGAAACCCATTAAAATTTTCATTCAAGGTTTTCAACAAGCCATTAGGAGACACAGCAAACATTATGAAGGAGATGCTTTTGTCAGGTGAGACCAGATTAGTATACATATCTGGAGTTCCTTGATTTTCACCTTGTATGAGAGATAATACTAACTATATGCATTCACATTTTGTCACAAATATCTCTAGCTGGTTAATAACATTGTATAAGGCGTTAATACAAAGTGGTGGATAATTGTGCATTTGTATTCAGATTCCACAAATAAAAGGCAGAGCAGCCCACTGCCCTCCAAAGTTATGTAATTACTAAATAGTCAACATGTTTGTAATCAAATCTCAGGTATATCTTCTCTCTGAAGGCCTCAGAGGTTAGCAGCAGACAGTTTGTTTGTTCATCTTTCAGTTTGTTGAACAGGGACCATGTACAGGAGCATTAGTATGAAAAGAAAATATCCCTTACCCTCAAGCGCAAAGTATTACACAAAGAACGAGAACGGTACAGAAACAGTACAGAGTACATACACAAATGTATGCTGACAAAAATGCCTGACTGAAGTTCACATTGAAAAAAAAAAAAACACATCACAATTAATGAAAGTGCTGTTAAATCTGTTAAAGCAAATTAAAGTTATAAAACAGTATTCCAAATTTTAAACATCTATCAGAGAAACACTTCATCTACCAACCAAAAATGAAAAGAGTATCAAACAGCTGCAAATACATGATCTTCCACCTAAACCAGGCGGTTGGACAGAAGAGCAAAGATCAGCCAATAGGAGCGTGGTGACTCTGGAGGAGCTGCACAGATCCACTGGAGAGTCGGTTGTCAAGACAACCACAAATCGAGCACTTCATAAATCCGTCCTGGGAAGAAGAAAGTCATATGAAAGAGACACATGAAGATCCTCTGGTCAAATGAAGCTGAAGTATACATCTGAGCGTACATGTAAAGGACAATGCACATTCTGCTACTAAGCATGGTGTTGGCAGCATTCTGCTGTGGGGAGGCTTTTCTTCATAAGGGAAAAGATGAATTGAGCAAAATGAAATATCTGAAGAAAACTCATAAGAGGATCTCTGCCCTCCTTTCTCTCCCTCTCTGTCTCTTTCTCTCTGGGTTTAATTGGTTCTCACCAAAGTTATTAATTAACTAATCAATTAATTAATGTATTAGCAGGTATTACTTCTTGCATTTCTTGTTTAGTCCCTGTTAAAACTTTATATCCTCTTTGGGAGGCTTTGCCACATATTTTCTTTTGGATAATGGGCAAGACTGCAACTTATGCAGCACAACCTTTTCTCTTGATAGCCTAATCAACTTGACAAATCTGTGAATCAATCATGCAGCATTGCAGATGTGCGTTTTGGAAATTGTTTTAACAATTTACTCTGGAAACATGCAAAACTGTAAGGGACTAAGTGCCTCAATTTCAAGTATGAGAAATGCTTAATGGTATTTCAAACAAATCTAATTGGCTCTCACACGTCTTTAATTGGAAAGAATAACAAGATTACAGGCGTATTAGTTTGAAAAGATTTGAGAATTTTGTCAGTCTGGTTTGTCACAAGAATAAATTAAGCAACCAGGCTGAAAACTCTGTAACGAAGGCTCTCTTCCCAACAAGAGGGCTGGAATTTCAAGAAAGAAGGATCATTACTGCGTTGACCACGTTTTTTTTTTTTTTCCTCTCTGTGTGGAAAATTCAGAAAATGAATAGAGGCTTTACACAGTTAGGCAGCAAACAAAATGCATCTTACATGGTGAATCGGCGATGCATGATTATCTGAACGGTGACATTGATTCTGGTTGTGGCTCACCCTCTCTCGTGAGGACCTCATGCTCTTTGGGATACCAAGACGAGTTGTTCCTCCTCTAATCGTCTGTGACAGTTCAGTTAGCGCCGCTCAGATGACCAGATATTTTACTCAGAAAAAAAAAAAAAAAAAAGGCGAGACTGCTCTAAATGACGAATGCTGCTCCAGACTATTCAGGCAAATACGTTTGAGTTTAATGTGATTATGTGGAACATGTTTCTCCTACCTTCTACACATTGAACTTCCTCAGACATTCAGGACATGTGGGTGCTGAATTACAGCAGCCCTCTTAATAATTACAATTCTTTATGAAAGCACCTGAGTGGCTTCCTTTGGTTTTGAAAGTAAATGAACAATTAAACCACCGTAAGCAAGAAAGTGCTGTGTTTTGAGTCAGTTTGGCTTGCTCGATTAAAATATGGACAGAAATAAGATTTAATGCTGTTTTGACCACGCTAAGCAATGACGAATCACCAGAATTAGAATGAGTCAATTAGGAGCTGTGATTCACTCAAATGTCTGCCTGGATTATTTTTGGGATTGTGCTTTTGGGAATCCTGTGTGAATCCTTGCAACACAAACACGTCTGCTGTTTACCTCAGTGTTAATGCTGGAATCTGTGTTTTCAATTTTCCCAAAAGTCCCTCTAATCGGCACAGCCTGTGTCACTTTTGCAATGCAAAAACACAATGAGGTGGCAGTAGATTAATACATCCATATGGGTCAAGGCTGGGTCCACCTTGGACAGGTTGCTGCTCAATCACAGGGCAGCACAGAGACGTTCAAACTTTGAATATTTTTGAGGTGAGGCAGCAGCGCTACCAGCTGCTCCACCGTGCAACCCTTGGCAGATAAAGGGAAAACTTTTTATGGCTCTTTTAATTCATCAGTGGAAATCATTCAAATTATTTTTTTATTGGTTCTTACTACGTGTTTTTGAACTGTCAACTTTCAAACTCTGCACAGAGAGGTCACAATCTGGAGTCAAACCACCGACTTTTTCCTGTGTTACAGCAGTGAAAACTGAGCCACCAACAGGCCTCGTTTAACCACGCAAATGCACTTTAAGTACCTTCAGACTAGTTCACCTATAATAATAATAATAATAATAATAATAATAATAATAATAATAATAATAATGTTGGAAGTTTTTTTTGTCATTTTAAATGAGACAAAAATCATAAATCTTCTTGTTAGTCATTCCAAAGTTCTCTATGCATTTGTGTTATGTTTTAAGCCAGTTGACTTTTACCTTAATGTGATGATTCAAGGCGATTTATTCACAATGGCAAATGAATCCATTCATAGTTTGTGCTGATCCCCCTTTTCTGCTTCTGTCTGTACACGGAGAGAGTATTTGGTGAGAATATTCATAATCGGATTAGATCTTACTCGATGGTTGGCTGCTGGACATCTTGGACTAGTTGAGAAAACTCTGAATGTGGCTGCAGTAAATTGTGTTGCAGAAGCATCTCTGGGGGTCTGGTTGTTGTTTGTGATGAACCACAAGGCAGACACAGAAGTAAAACTGACAGTGGCTGGCTTGGCAAAGAATGCAGGAAGGACAGAGGTGGAGAAATTTTTCCTGATAGGAAAGGCAAACCGTTGTAGATTAAAGTCTTGTCAACTGAAAGCAAAGGAAATCAGCTCAGCAGCTTCTCCTAATTAGCCAGCCTGATGAGATGACCAGACTCAGGAGTGGAGCTGCAGCCTGGAAGCTCCACAACCCCAGAGTGGATGAACACAGAGGAACTGGGAGAGAAACACACAAAATGCTCATGGAAGTGAGGTGAGGAGACTTTTGACAACATTGGAATTCTGGACAGAAGTGTAAGGACACACCCATGAGCTTCTCAGCAACCCTCACTGTCCTCTGCAGCATGCCACGCAAATTCAAAATGGATTCACGCTTCGGGTTGAACTACTTTGAAGAGAAATGTTCTTCTTTTAGTAGCGTTTGATAACCTGACCTTAACTTTTCAGCCACTTTGAGAATTTGAAATTTTGCATTGTTCTGGAAAACCTTGCAAGACTATGTTGTTATGTGATTGACCTACTGTTCACTTTAAACAGAAGTAAAATATAGCAGAATAAAGTCAGGCACATCCTAAGTTTGTTGTCTTTGCTTTTTTTTATTTCCTCCTTTGTGAGAACCCTGAAGGAAGACGAACCAAGAGGAGGAAGGTAAACTTCCACCTGGAGGAGAGTCTACCAGCGTGAAAATACTGTCTATCTTAATGCTTTTCCACTGTCAAACCAGCGTTGTCTCTTCAATTCAGTTGCATTTTTTTTTTCTTTTAAATGCGGAATGAAGTCATATGAGTATTCTTAAGAAACCCACATGCTTACTGGGAGAGGATTCAAATCCTGACATGCAATCCTGGAAATAATTCTTGGAAATATGTGGACCCTGTGATGAGCCAGCAACAGACGCCCCGAGACAATGTTTATGCGTGCAAAAGAAAATGATTATTACTTATTTCCAATATGATCAGATGGTTATTTCAGAAAATCCCAAAGGATATTGGACTGATTGATAATTCCAATTTTCAAGCATTCTACAGAACCAAACAAACACCTCACCTCCACGTTGTTGCTTTCACTATGAAATAAATGCATTTTATTAGAACAAAGAAAATTACGAATCCTTTCACGCCGGAAGCTTTAGATCTTCTCATGATGCACATCGAGAGAGGATTGCATTTTAAACTCGAGAACATCCCAACCACATAGCACTTTTGTGTTGTTTTAAGTTTGTTTTTGAAAGCACCAGCATATTCATAAGATTCTTGGGCTTGGTTAGACTGAATAATGGACCTTTTCAATCACAGGCGCCGTGTGACTTCTACACTGTCAGCTCTTTGTGATGCCCTCTTCTTTTTTAAGCATCTGTGTCCAGCATGAGGAGAGAGAGATGTTATGGTTGCAGAGAGCACCTAATGGGGCGATGGGATTCAGTCACAGATGGGGGGTCAAGTGATCTGCCTTTTCTGGAAGGATCTTTCAGATGGTTGTGGTGAGACTAATTGTGATAGCATGCAAAATGGAGCCAGTACTTTTATCTTCATTAACAAAGAGACTGTTTCTTTTTCTGTTTTTTTTTTCTATTTTTTTTTTTCTGAGATTCGTCAACTCTTGCAGCCGCTGATTGAGCCAATGATACTCTGTGTTCTCTGTAAATGGGAGGCATGTGTTTAATTGCCAAAACCAAAAAAAAAAATAGAAAAGATAGTGAATGATGTGAAAATAAATGCGCTTTTTCAGTTTATTTCTGTTTATAGTGAACTTCACCATATCCTAGGGTATAAATATCTTCCATAATTTATTAACCAAACAAGAGAGTCGCACTGATTGCCTAAGCTATGATTAAGTACTTCAAGTTGGACTAAAAGCCACAAAAACACCCAAACTTAGACTTCATAAAAGCAAAGCCTGTTGGACAGTTGTATATGTCTTCATGGTCAAATTGTCATAACAAGGTTGTAAACTACGCTTTCTATCCACTTTGCCTCACTTTCTTTGGAGGTCTTGATCTCCAGCGACGCTGAAAATAGGAACTTACGCAAAAAGACCAATAAACCGTGTCTTGTGATTTTGTAAAAAAAAGTTTGAAAACCATAAAAAACAAGAACAAAACAATTTTTGAGTAAATAAGAAGTCGTTTGGATAAAATGTAATAAAAAACTGCACATTCAACTGCTACATTGTCCCGTAACCTGATTTTGCTGCATATTTTTACAAATAATTAAATAAGAAACTATAAGTTAAGCAGAAAATGTTTTGCCTTTTAAAATGTTACTTATATCTTGATAAAAGTAGTTGACATAAAACCTTCTTGGATACTTAATGTTTCATTTTTGGTATTTCAAACAGTTGCTTAATCATTGCCTTTTTCACCAAATCAAAGAAAAAAAATAAAAAAAAAAGCTATTTTACTAAGTGGAGAGAAAAAGCATGGACAAATCTGCAATAAGGAGATATTCTCTGGTAATTACTTGAAACCAAATTGCAGGAATCATAGAATGAAATGATGTTTAATCAAAGATGTTATTTCTCTAAAGAATATTTACTAATGCATACTCTACATTTGTTTGAATTGTTGAGTTAAATCTGTCGGCAATCATTTTATTTCGACATTATGAAACTGCTTAATTATACACCAGCATTTAAATTGGATTTCAATGGGGCTGACTCCTCTGTCCAAACCATGGCTGCAGTTTTGAGAGAAGGTGATTCCAATCTTCACTGAAATCTGCTGTTTACTTTTCATGGCGTTTCATGCAAAAGTATTCACAGCCCATGAACATTTTGCAGCATATGACAACAACAAACCCCGATGGTTGCTTTTTATCACATACGACAGAGCAACATAAATTAGTGTATTAATTTGAAGAGGAAAGAAAAGGATTTATGGTTTTCAAATATTTTCACCAGTAAATTTCTGAAAAGTACAGATAATTAAGTTCAATGCTTCATAAAACCAGCTTTTGTTGTTTGTTACAGCTGCAAGTATTCTGGGATAATTCTCTGAAAGCTTTTCAAACATGGATAAAGAATTTCTTTGCAAAGCTGTTAAAGTGTTATTAGATAGAAACCGAGTTTATGTTACAACTTTGAGCGGCTGAATTTACAGGGTTGTTGTCTTGCTGGAAGCTGCAGCATTTTGATTTAATATTTTGTCTTTGAAATGATGTCCTTCTTTGTGTTTGTCCACAACAGAAAAAGCATAAAAATTTGTACTTACGTTTGCAACTGTAGTGTGACAATGTAGAGCAAGTTCAAGAGGTTTGATTAGATTACCAAGGCAAGACATGTTAAAATAAATACACAAAATGAATAAATAGCTACATAAATCAAATCAAACTTTATTGAAAGAGCACTTTTATTTCAGTCAGATCTATATAAAAAAAAGGATTTTTAAAGGTCAAAAACAGAAGGAAATAATTTTCTAATTACACATCGTACTTAAACCTTTTAAATGATCCTACAGAAAAACAAAAAAATGTGTCAAAACGACAGCTCCGCTGTCGGTCACCGTTCGGCAGAGATTATAAACCAATTAACAGCAATTAAAAATGGCCGGGTACCTCAGCCAGTCGTAGGTCACGTTTGGTGATACTGGAGCAGCACACTGCTGTGTGATTTCTGCTATGAGAGGTTGTGACCTGCCTCCTACGCCGCCGCTCTCCCCAGACCTCCACTGGCAGAGCTGAAGCGGCGGAGCCACACTGGTAGGTTGTGTGAGAGGACAAGCGGATTTGGCATGCACATCAGAGCGTGATACCCAAGCATTTTGGTCCTATCACATGCCACACACACCGACTCTCACACACACTAAGAGAGCATTTCTGGTCGCGTAAAATGGATTGTAACACTGGCCACTGTTATGAAATGATGCCAGCAACTCATAGTGTCCCTTTACAGCCAACTCAACCAAAGGTCTGAGTGTATTTGTACCATGTTGTTGTTGTTGAAAGAAGTGGTTTTACAGGTGCAGTTATCTGTACAGTTTAACACAGTCACTTTTTTGTCAAATCCAGCCAAAATAAAATATTTGCATACACTGTGGAAGGATAACAATATAGAGAGCTTTTTAGATCTTTTTTTTTATTTTTATTTAAGGTCAATGTTTCAATAAACAAGATTATTTTTACAAGGTTTAAGTTAATTGGAGGCACACCTCAAACACGACTTCTTTAAAAATTAACCGTCCTGCGGTCTACGCGTGATGCTCAGGAGGAGCACAGCAAATGTCACGGTCAGACAGCGGGGCGAGTGGGGGTGTTGTCCCTTAAAACCTCAACTTCCGAAACCACTCTACACAAAAAATGACATATTTTTAAACACTTATCTTCATGTATAAACATCATGCGAATGTCCAGTCAACATACAGTTCAGGTAAGCGATGGGATTAAGGTCAGATTTCAACATGTTTTGGTGCAAAATGTTTGCATCAATCCCAGAAGAAACGACAAAACACTTTGCAGAGATGCAGCATGAAGCTGGCAATGAATCCTGTAAACTTGTGGGCAAAAAGGCCACTGTGAAAGGAAGAGGTTATTATCTCAAAAGCAACAAAAAAAAGAAATGCAGAACACAGTGTGGCAATGCAAAGTGACAAACACCTTCATTTGTTGAGACATCCTGTGTTCTGAGAAAACAAAAATTAACATTTTCTGACTATAAAGACCATCGTCACATTTTCAGGAAAAGAAGGTGAAGTAGGAAAAGCGGCAGCATCATGCTGTGTGACTGTTGTGCTCCAGGAAGATAAAATCAGATAAAATCATAGGAATAGACGTTTTCTGGAAATATTGAAGCAACATGTCAACACTTCACCTATTACATCAAAGCTTGGACATAAGAGTCTTCTAAATGAACATTTACTTTAAGCATTGTACTAAATTAGTTAGAAAGCTGTGGTAAATTCAATCTTTTTGGCAGAGCTGTAATGATTTTTGCAAGCCAGACGGCTGACAAACCGGATTTTGCACCAGTTCAGTTCCAGCAAACTATTCAGTTCAATTTAGACGACAGTTCTGTCAAAAACTGGGAAAATTTATGTTAACTACTGAGCTTGAAGAAACTTTTTAAAAACCTTTCACAAATAAATTTTATTTCAGTCATCCTTTAGGCATTTAGCAAACAGAAATATTTTAGCTAATCCAGACTGACCTAAAAGAGGAAAAGTTTAGTTCGATTTAATGTCTTTTTTTTTTTTTTTTTACAATTTCAGTAAATATCTGGTTTCATCTGGAAGCTTCAATTTGACAGATACGTTTAGTTTAATTAGATCAGCAAACATTGTAATCACTAGAAAAACCCTTCTGGTTGTGTTCTAGTCAAACCTTTGAAGGGATTTTGAGGCTAGTGAAGGATATCATCGGGGATGCATTTTTCTAAAATGCTGGTTGACTGATTTAGTCTCACACACGCTTCAGGGAAATCTGCTCATCTGTGATCTTAAGGTGTTCATGCAACCTGTTTGTTCAACACCCAGTAGCAACATGCAGATTGTTTTTTTTTTTTTTTCAAGTGTGTAACTGTAAAAAATGCCCGTCTCCGAGTATACTGACACTAAACCCAGAACAGCCATGTCTTAGGGACATTGTAGGCGGCCATGACAAGTTATGCCCCATTTAAGATGTTGCATTATCTCAACGTGTTTGAGCCGCTCTGAAGCAAATCATCAAAGACATAAAATCAGCAGTTGGCTATGATATGGTACCTTGTTTACGTGCAACACAGATGAGCAGGCTTCGCATTAAAACTCTAACATCATCCCTATATAAACAAGTGAGAAATAAAGTGGTGTTTTCGGAGTGTAAGTGTGATTTCGCATGACAGAGGAGCAGAAAGGAGAGCTCTTTCGGCGTTAAACGGGAGAGGGCAGGTGAGCCCTGCTGCGGGGCGATAAGAGCCTCGGGGAACATCCAGACAACACACAGTCCCTCCGCTTTGCTTCAGTGAAATAAAGAAGAAACTGTTGCACTTCCTGAAACACTCACCATCATGTGCTTTGTGTTTTTCGCTTATTTAATCCCTGCCGCTTCAAAGTGTGGGGCTGCCCTCGTTTGCAGACTTAAGATGGTTTGTCTCCGCTCAGTGGACGGTCCGCCGTCTCCTCCCCATTGGTTCGTCGTCAGACTAGGCTTGAATTTTTCTATCTTCTCCTCTCAGGCCTCAATCTGCAGCGTCAAGTCACGAGCTTGTGCCGTCTGCTGCCAGGAGAAGGTGTTACTCAGGATAAACAGAATTCACACTATAATGAGCGACGACAGGATGTCACCCCGTCTGACACAAATCAAACTCCAGCCACCGTGCTTCCACCTCTGTACCCACCTGCACCCATCCAGCTGAGACGTCCCCCGCTCCCCCTCCTCTGGTTTTGTGATGCCACCCGCAAAACTTATTTTGGCAGATGCTGTTGCAACAAAGGAGCAATATTTACAATCACATCTTCAAAGCTTGGCCAGATATAATGCTTTTTTGTTTGGTTCTCATCAAAGTTTTGCGACCTGTTGTGTCTCACACATTTGTGTCCAGTTTTGCAGGCCGAGAGCTTTCCTTTCTAAATGGATCTGCAGCTTCGTCTGATGGCTTTTTGAGTTCCAGACTTTTACGCAACTCGTAATTCATAATTATGTGCCAAATTGATCTTTTTCCAAAGCATTGTGTACCAGTATTGGACGTCTAAAGCAGTGCTCACCATCTATTTTAGCTTACAGTGCCTTTCAAAACTATTTGTACCCTTATTTCATAAATAAAGTCCGAATTTAATCTCTGTATTAATCCAGCAGTTTGGTGAAGGCCTCAGAGGTTTGACGGTTCTCTGATCAGACGAGGCATTTATTCAGCATCGATGGGGAAGCTGGCCACAGCCGACTGAAAGATTGAGGAGCTGAGCACAGAGCAACAAACTCTGAGATTCACCATCCAGCAGGGAAACGGCACGGGACATAAACCCAGAGCTGTGATGGGGGGGTTCAGATGAAAGCATTTTCATAAACTAGAATGGCCCAGTCAAAACCCAGTCTGGATTCCAGTTGATAATCAGTGGTGCGACTTAAAAATTGCCTTGCATCCAATTTGACTGAGCTTTGGG